CCCGCGTTAGAAGAAGGAACATGACTCAAAGGTCCGCTAAGAATTGGTCCTTTTGCACATGCTGTTTCATGATGTGCGAGGAACAGTAGTCGGCGATGGCGTTTAATGACGATAATTCCGTTTCCCGGTCATCTTTTTGTATAAAACTGTTGAAATAGCAGCTGTGCATGGTTTACTAACGCTGTAAATAGCCTCCTCCACCTAGAACGGTTCGAAATTTTTGAAATCAGCCTGCTTACATATAAAACTGTGCAAACGACTGTTATCACTCATGAATGGCTGAGCTCATCTTGAAAATATGTAAAAACAAAATTTGCTTTGTGAAACTTATGAGCGGAGCCTGAAATCACATTGAATTTGTAGGATGAATACAGCAATTTTCTTTTCTATCCAAAGTGTTATTATTTTAGGACTTCCGGTTGGTATTGGACCATCTCACACAATTCTTCCAAAAGAGATTCGCCCAAGACGACCACATGCTAATGTAAGATTATGATTTTTTGTATTTGTATGTATATATAAATTGAAAAATCAACTATTCAAGGTTCAATTTGATGACCGTGAACAGTCAGAAAGTCTTGGACGCCAGAGCTGGTTTATCTGTCAGAGATATCGAAGTAGCACTGAATGATGTGACTCAAGACAGGTAATGAAGTTGCAAACTGTGATCAATAGCGTTTTTTTTTACTTCATACTGTCATGCTTTTTTTCAGTGATGACGAAGAATCTGCAAAACTCGGCGCTGGTATTGATAGTCTAGTAGAAATGTCCAATGATAACTACATCAAGGGTTCGTATAAGATTATGTTGATCATCAGCGCAGACAGTACAAGCAGGTATGCAAAAGAGATTTTTGTGAAAAAAGATGATCGCAAAGATGATGATTATAGTGATGCCGCAGTTCCATCGGCAGAGTTTGCATCTGGTGATTTCGGTCATAACATCATAGGATTGTCAGTCCGAAAACCATCTACAGACTTACTTACTACTATGGCTGGCGTAGGAACGAGGTCTGCAGTTTTTT